ACATCTGTACACACACACACATCTGTACACACACACACATCTGTACACACACATCTGCACACATAAAGGAGTCTCGGCTAGTAGGCTATATTGCGTGTGAGGATGCTGGAGGTGGAGATTTATAGCCTTTTCTCACAGCACTTGATATAATTAAACTTATCAATTTTATGGCGGATCCAGAAAGGTATAAACGACAATCATCAGTGACAACTACAGACTCACCCGCTGTAACATGCAGAAGACTTCGTTCGGACTTCGGAGTGGCTACAGAAAAAAAGAGAGACTGCAACCGGCTCATGCGAAAACAAGGATAATATCGGAAGGACATTACATGTAGTCACGCAATGCTGACATTGTTAACATTAACAAGTTGAGAACAAAGTTTAATTTGCACGGTTTTGCATGATAAGCGATTTTTAGATTTAATCAGCGCGATTTACTGCAATGTCAGAACCAGAACAAAAGTGGATGTTACTTGTTCAGAGGACAGTTTCCGGTGAAAATTATTATGTTGGTCATACTTCCAAAAAGAATAATCTGTGATTCTGAATGCCAGTATCCACACCGGCGGCGACTGACACACACACTCTCCTCATTGTGTTCATCCGCGCTGTGCCGTGTCAAACTACAACTCACGTAAAGTTGATAATTTCGCGAATGACTGCAATTGCAGATTTCGAACAGAGATGGCGACAAAGAGGAAAAAATGCAGACTGCAGCTTTAAAGGCTGTTTTCTCTCGACAGAGTGGAGTCTCTTTCATGAACTGGACGCAGATAAAGCACCAGAGACGGTTACGGATTATATAAAATTCTATGTGGACAATGTTATACCTAAAAAAAAAATAACTATATCCTAACAACAAACCATACATAACTAAGGAGGTTAAAGATTGCATAAACCACAAGAAATTGGCATTCAAGAACCAGGATAGAGCACAACTGAAAATTGTGCATACAGAGCCTAGTCATTTGCTCAGGGAAGCCAGGAGGAGACATAAAGAACTAATCGATCAGAGTTTTACAGAAATGAACTCAAAAAATCTATGGGACACGATGAATGAAGGTAATTACGAATATCAGTACTTTAGATGACCTGCAAAAAGCTAATGAACTGAATGACTTCTATCTGAGATTTGAATCTCGGGACTTCTCTGAAGGGAAGAATGTTTCAGAGACAGTTTCTGTCACAGAGCACGATGTAAGGCTGGTGATAAAACCTCAGGAGGTAAGACTGCATTTCAAAAACGTATGTACTAAGAAGGCGACGGGGCCCGATGGAATATCCACATTCCTGTTAAAGACGTGCAGATGATCTGACACCTGGATGGCTCCCAATCTTCCAAAAATCAGTAGACTCACAAGTCATACCCACCCTGTGGAAGAAATCAGTAATTACACCTTTACCGAAACAACCATGCCCAAAGGTGAATAATGATTTCAGGCCTTGGGCACTGACTTATATTGTTATGAAATGTTTTGAGAGGATAATGGTGTCATTTCTTAAGCAAGATGTTGGTGTGTTTTTAGATCCGCTTCAGTGTGCCTACAGGCAGGGCCGCGGCACAGATGATGATTCACATCTGGTCAGTAAACACCTCGAGGACCCCAAGGCCTATGCACATATTCTGTTTGTTGATTTTAGTTCGGCTTGTAATACTCTGCAGCCTCGCATGCTCATCCAGAAACTGAACATATGAATGTTAACTCTTTTATTCTCAACTGGTATTTTTCTTTTTTAACAAACCGTACTCAACAGGTTAGAGTGAATAATGCTCTTACGGAGCCGGGGCCAATCAGGGCTGTGTCAGCTCTCCAGCACTTTTTACATTGTACACTAATGACTGCACTAGACTCCATACTGACAATTATATCATTAAATTCTCTGATGATACTGCAATCCTCGGCCTTATGCATAAAGATAGAAGTCCAGCAGCGTATCATATGGAAATTGAGGAATTTGTGCAGTGGCGCAACGACAACTATCTTGTGCTAAACGCGACCAAGACTGAGGAGATGGTGTTTGATAGGCGATACCAGGCCTGTTGATTAATAATTTACCCATTACTCAGATTAGCTCTTATAAGTACCTTGGTGTACATATTGATAATGCACTGACATGGAAGGACAACACAAGTACTGGAGTCTGTTCCAGACTCCAGCAGAGGATGCATTTTTTACGAAGACTTAGATTGTATGGAGTGGAACAAACATGTATGTTGTTGTTCTATCATGCAATATTAGAGAGTATTTTTAAATGCGGTATTACAGCCTGGTATGGTAACCTGACAGTACAGTCAAAATCACAGATCGCCCGTCAGGTAAAGACAGCGATGAAGACTATGGGGGTCAAAAACCAATCTTATAATTGTACTGTCATGAACTTTAACATTTAACATGTTAACTGAGGCCTGTAAAGAGGTGTAGTTCCTGTTTTTTTTTGCAGTTTTTCTCAGCATTGCATGGTCTGACCTTGGGTGAATTTGCTGGGACGTCCACTCCTGGGAAGATGGACAACTGTTTTGAATGTTTCCACTTGTGAATAATCTTTTAACGCTTCCCATATTGATGGCAGCAACAATTGCTTTTCTAAGATCATTGCTGATGTCTTTCCTCCTTGGCATTGTGTTAACACACACCTGAATGCTCCATACTGCCAACACTTCTGCTTTTATAGAGTTGATCACACTTGCTGATGATCAATTATTCAAAGACATTTGATTGGCAGCACCTGACTACTACTTACGCTCTTAATTCCTATGAAAGCAGTAAGGGAAGGGTGTACTTAGGCTGCCTTTACACTTGGCATTAACATGCGATCACCGTGATCCGATCAAGCAGATCGGATCATTAGCCAATCAGGACATGGTGCGTTTATATTTGTTCACATTAAGCAGCCTCTGTATCTGGATAACCGATCGGATTTCTGTTTCCCTGCATAATATTTAAATCAGGTCTGTGGCACGACACCAGATTAATAGTAAAGATGATACAAATTAAACAACATCCCAAATGCTTTCACTCACTCACTTTACTTTCATATGCAATCTCCATTAATTAGATCAAATTATATTTTTTTGAAAGAAGGAATACTTCCAGAGTTGATCTTACACAAATAACTGGGTTGATCATGTTAAACAAGTCACATCATCCATCATCTGGGTTTAAGGTTGCGTGCAATGACTATATTGACAGAAATGGGAGATTGATAAACATGCTGAAACAATAAAAACATTCAACATTTAAAACATAAAAAAATTCCGATTCCGATTATTCATCTGGCATAGCAGCGTTCAGCTCTTCATTAAGATCTCATGACTGACTGTGAGTGTACAGTCGATCGCCTCGTTCAGATAATGTTGCACAATTAAAATGAAAAAATGACACACATAAATAAACTGTTTTAAAGATTGACGTTTATTGTTCAGATAAGTTTAATTTTGTGTCTAAACTGCGTCTGGCCATTACTTTCTGACAGTCACGCGGGGAGACTGGGCGGGGGGGATTTAAATTACGTTCACCTGTGAATGCAGACACGATGGCTGGATTGCGTTTACATTACACTGAGATCCGATCACAATGCGTCCTCGACTCCCTCCGAACCGGGACACGCTGATCGGATAACATTCCGATCAGATGTGCGTTTACACTTGTCTTTTCAATGTGTATGTGGACAACATCCAGATACAGGTCGCATGTTAATGCCAAACGCAGCCTTTGTTGTCAATCATGGCTTCTCAATTTTGGCCTCGTTTTTGTTAAATAAATATAGACACGGTGTAATATGTCATATGTTGTTGTTCATCTGATGTTGTATTCACCTAGTTTTAAGACCTGTCAAGGACCGGATGATTTTTGATTATATCCTGATATCCTTTTATTATATCCCGTAAAACCATAGAATTCAAAAGGGTGTTCTTTCTTTCACATGACTGTGTATATAATGCCGAGTTCAGACTGCACGATTTTAGCCCCGATTTTGGCTCGCCGACAGGTTTTGTGAAATCGCCGACAAATGCCCGAAATCACAGGCAAATCGGTGCTCGTTCACGCGAGTGACAATCACGCAGTGTGAATGAGCAAAGACGCGATCTGAGAGAATCGCCGACGAGTCGCCGACGCCCGTGAGATATTTGGCATGCTAAATATCTGGACCTGTCGGCGATTCACAATCCTGCTGTGTGAATGTGTTCTGACTGAAAACTACATCGGCGATGACCGACAGCCAATGAGAGAGCAAGATACAGGGAGGAGGAGGAGGAGTTATAGACCAGAATATCAGTATTTTAATAGATAGGCCTATATTTACAATTATATCAAACAGAAACAAAGCACAAACATTTTCATGACCAGCAGCAACAGCAGGACATTTGCAAAATGAGTTATTTACCCCCAACTCTCTTTGCAAAACACAGTCCTTGCTCCCCTCGTCTTCCCAACCATTTCCTGCATAAACTGTTTTTTTTGTTTGTTTGTTTTTTCGCTACAAATCAGTGCACAGACAATTTGTAGGCTATCATTTTTAATAATAAATTCAGTGTCGCGCGAGAACTCCGGTCTCACGCACGCGTGATCTTCCGTTATTTCCTATCACTTCTCGCGTTTGTTTGGTTGTGAAACGTAGTTTGCGGACCAGGCAGAAGTTGTCGGCGATTCTTTCTTTTGTAAAGTCATGCAGTGTGAAACCTCCTGTCGCCGATCCATCGTGCAGTGTGAACACAGCAGCAACTGAATGTTACCCCAGATAGTCATGCAGTGTGAAAACAACTGTGACCCGATTATTTTGAAAATCGTGCAGTCTGAACTCGGCATAAGACTTACCATTGGGCTTGACTGGGCTGCACCCCACGGGCCCCATCCTGTAGGGGGCCCCGCCTTTACCCGTGTGTGTTTGTTTGATTTGTTCGGTTATATGCCATTCACAACTAAATGTAGAAACTCAGTTTTGCCAGTATCTCTTGCACATGACCTAAGGAAAAACTAAAGTGTGTGTTTTCTGCAGGCTCTGACTGTAATGGTGCTCGACAGACGGAGGTAGTCAACAAACAGGACGAGTTCCTGCCTCCTCAGTCTCTGCTCTCTGCCTACCTGGAGCAGTTTAGCTAAAGCTGCCATGAGTCCTGTCCACAAGCTGTTCATCCAGCCAGAACCGGCAACACTGCCCCTGACCTGGCCAACATGAACTGTGCGTGTGGCATTATGTCATAGGACCTGCAAGCCTTGCCCTTTAGGAGAAACTGCGCTCACTAGAGGGATCACTGTACTCAGTGTCACTATCTCCTTCATTTACTGTTTCTGATGTTTTGGAGCATGTATTAGTAGATGTTGTTACATGATCTGATTCTTTTTCCATGTTCCGGACAGAATTATACTGTCATGGCATCTTTGTATACAAGTAGAAACATAATTGTGTATGAACTCGAGAAGAGGCAGAATATGATTGATAATTAATCATTTTTGTTTATCATGATCTTTACATGAAAAGCCACATATAGTCAAAAGAAATCTAAAACTCAGGCTCCTACAAAATCAGCACAAATTTCATGATGGTTATGCAGTTATTGTATGTGTATACCCGTTCCACATGTTTATTTTACTGCACACATACTGCACAACATTTTACAATTTACATGCATTTGATTTGTGAAGACTTGTAATTCTGCTAATTTACTTCAGCCAGTCCTGCCTGATCAGTAGTATTTTTATATCCAGCATTCTATAACTTGAATTTTGAGTGAAACAGTACTTGTCTTGTTTGTTCATCTACTGTTATCAGGTGTCACACACTTCTTTTTTTCTGTTAAGGATCTGCCAACATGCACTTAACAACTATGCCTTACCTGTATGCCATATTTGTCAGTTTTGCATTTCCGTATATATTAAGCTTTACATCAAGGTTGTTATGGTTTATATACAGGGGAAATATTTTGATGTTTTCTACCATCAAGGGTCCTGAGACACTTGAGCAGTTCTTGCATTGGTGCTTATAACCAAAGTGTGTGTGTGTGTGTGTGTGTGCGCGCGCGCCAGGCATCAACCTTCATGAATGTGGACTTTTACATTACTTTCAGTCACCTAAAAAGCAGGTGTGTTGAAACCTTTGCCATGAAGAGTTGGCTTTTTATTATTATTATTTTTTTAATTTTGTGCCAATATTTGAGTTTAATGCTAATTATATCATGGTGGCAGAGCATGAATACACACCATAGAGCACTTCACTTTATTTAGTTTTTGTCTGTTGCAAGTACCTGTTAAAATGATATCAAGCTTTTAACTGAGATCATATTGTGTAATTATTTCATGAATCGAATGCAAATCATGTGGACTTAACAATGAAAATAAAAAAAAGTTCTGTTTAAGCTTGGCTTCCTGTATTCACGTTGATGTAAAACATTAATTAACAAATGAGGTTGAAAGAACACCAATGTCCTGTTCAAGTTCCCATTCTGTCTCTATTTTACCACAAAAACAAATAGTTTTAATCATTTAGGTCGATCCAAACCTGTATGACTTACTTTCTGAATTGAACTTAATGAATTTAAATGTTTGGGAGAATGATTTGAAATCAGTTATATAAAACTTTTTTTTCTTCTTTTTTTTTTTAAAGATTTATGTTAATTTGTATTTAATAATAATGAAAATAAAAAAAACGAACCTTAAAGGCACACTGTGGAATTTTTGGCCACTAGGGTGCGCTCGACCTGTAATTTTCACGTCTAGTGCCCCTAGAGGCCACAAGCGCCGCAGCATTGTCGCAAAAGTCAACAAACAGTCAACCGGTCAACCTCCCGTGTCTTTATGTGTGTGCAGACGGCATTTGATTTGTATGTTGGAGAAAGTTAATCGATTCACTACTGACCAAAATAATAATATAAATATAAGATTAATAATATAAATCCTATAAAGAAAACAAATTGAATAAAAGTAGCATACGCAGAAAACAATGTCTGATCAGGTAAGTCGCATTGACAAGGGTTGCCCAATCCTGCTCCTGCCGATCGTCTGTCCTGCACAGTTCATCTCCAACCCTAATCAAACACACCTGAAGCAAACAAACGTCTTCAGGATCTCTTTGCAATGGGTTGGAGATGAAATCGAGTAGTCGGGAAATCGTGTAACAAAACTGATATAACTCACTACATATTTCCGTTATTTGTAGTCTTCAGTTTGTTTTTCCTTTTACACAAATACAAACATATATGAGCTGAAAGGAAAAAAAAACATCTACATTTACATTTGTATACGGCAGTATGTTGTGACTTATATCAGTTTTGTTACACGAATTCGCAGTAAATATTACATTATATATACACTTTTATGCCGATGTTTATTTTAAACTCCCTTTTTCTTTTTTTGGTCTCCTCTGACAAAATCTTTGCTTTCTTCCGAGTAGCTGTTGATTCAGCCATGACGACAACATACAGACGCCGGCAATCAAACGCGAGTTGAGCTCATGGTTGAGCTCTCACGTTAGAATTTGAGGAAGTTGGGGTGGTGGGGGAAGTGACGTATGCCGTAAAGCGGTCGAATTTTGTAGTTCTTTTTGTGCTCGGGTTCCTACCCGAAACCCGAAGTTACATAGTGCTAGTAAAAGCGATACAGACACCTTCAGGCTTCGGCAGACGTGTCATTCAACCTATTGTAAGTCGATGTACCATCTCAATGGGTTTTGGTAATATATTATAAAGGTTGAAAAGTTCCACAGTGTGCCTTTAATGTCGTACTCTACTATTTGTTGATCTGGTACAAGAGGCTGAAGGTTGCTCAAGTGACAGTCTTTAATGGCTCAACACAAAACCATGTTACCAGGTAAACTGTAATTATGCTTGGAGAAAAACATGTCTATTAAAAAAAAGTATAATCATGACTGTCAATTACAAAATGGATAGTTCCAACCCTGGATGCTCATTAGTCAATATCATATTCAAGCAGTTATCTTCCAAGATATAGTAACATATTTGACATGTACACCATTTCACCGTAAAATACTTTTTGCACAATGCATAGCAGTTGCCAGTGATTAAGCAAAATTAGATTTATTATTATTATTTTAGATGGATTGATGAGGAAATGTGGTTTTACATAATAGTGTGAATATAGTTATGCTTAAAGACTGCAAATACAGTACATAGAAACTGTACACATACACAGTACACTCTGACAGAATTCCAATGCAAAAAAATAACACACTGCAGTACTGCACTGAGTTTAGTGTCACAGAGAGCCAAGTGTGCCTGGCAATGCCGTTGAAAGCACCTTGCTGCCAACTTTAACGTCAACATACTAAAAAATAAGCACATCTCCCTCAGTCAACACAATTGTGAGTCTCCTAACCCATAATCCCACTTATCCCACTGACAAAGCAGCCTATTGTTGGACTGTCAATTTTTAACATTAATCAACCAATCCAATAATAATAACAAAAACTATGGACTAATAACACGGCTATGGGCTGACAGCGAAGCAAAAAAGCAGAGCGAGCCAGCCAGGAGTCGAACCTAGAATCTTCTGATCCGTAGTCAGACGCGTTATCCATTGCGCCAAGCGCGGCGCGCATATGTCTATCAAAGCTATCAAAAGTTGCCTGAAATTGACCCAAAGATCGCAGGATCGAATCCCGCTCGTCCAAACTTTTTATGACTAATGTTAATTATTAGGATAAATGTTATTTAACTACACATTTAAGTCCAGATAATTCTGTCATGTGTATAAATTAACATTTGTATATAATAATACAGTAAACAATAATAATAATAATTATAAGAGGAAGAAGATGAAGAAGAAAAACACAAAAACGTCCAAACACATTATATTTTTTTAATACAATCACAACAATTATTAAAACTGGTAATATTAATAATAGTAGTAGTAATAATAATAAATAACTTAAGGCATAACTAAACATAAATAAATGCTTCTCATCTATTATTATTATTATTATTTAAAATATATATTATTATAATAATAATAGTAATAATGATATTAATGATAATCAGGTACATAAATAACTTAAATGCTTCTCATCTATTATTATTATTATTAATAATAATAGTAATAATGATATTAATGATAATCAGGTACATAAATAACTTAAGGCATAAGTTAACATAATAAAATAACTAAAATAAACTCTTCTCATCCAGGCAACCACCTGGGGCCTGTTTCAGAAAGGAGGTTAAGTGAAAACTCTGAGTAGGTTAACCCTGAAATGAGGGAAACTCTGGGTTTTCCGTTTCAGAATGGGAGGTAAGTCAAACCTGAGAAAGCAGAGTAAGTCAAGCCCGTTTCTGAAAGAGAGGTAACTTATACTCAGAGTCAGTTACCATGGTAACTTACTCTGTGAACCTAACCTGGTCGGGAGCAGGTTTACTTCAGTAAACCCAGAGTTTATTTCGGTCTCCTCCCCTTTTTTAAAGAGGAAGCAGTGTTTAAACACCAACAATAATACTACAATTTATTTAAACATTATTTAAGGAATATATATATTGTTTGTCCATGGTTTAATTGACTAAATCTGTTTTGCAGCACTTTGCCAAAAAATAAAAGGATTTAAATGTTTGCTAAACTTTTATTTGATTACCACCGTTTTTGATAATATATTTCTATTAAATCATAAAAAAAATCTGAATAAAAAACATTTCATTGAACTCAATTATTTTTAAACATTTTAATAAGTTATTAATGATTAAAAAAATAAGCTGTTAATCTAATTCATAATCAATTATTGAAATTAGTTGATTAGATATGTTTTATTGAACAAATGTTTAATTTATTTAACTGTCATTTTAACTGATAACAATAACCGTATTTAATAATGCAGTTTATATATTTATTAATTGTTTAATACCATAAACCGTGATATTTTCTGAGACGGTTATCATACTGTGAAACTCTCATAAGTTACAACCCTACACAGGAGAGTCCCCCACCCCACCCCCACCCCACTGTTAAACAAGTAACTCAGCGACTTTTACTCTGAGTACATTTTAAATGAGCTACTTTTTACTTTTTCTTGAGTATATTTTTAGACATGTACTTTTACTTAAGTAAAAAATTTTCAAAGTAATAGTATTTTTACTTGAGTAAAATATTGTATTACTCTTTCC